GTAATATGTATCGCGATTTTACTCAAAAAAACCAAGATTGAAAAAATGATCTGCCAACTTCTCGTGACAGATCATTTTTTCAAAAATCATCGGATTTTATAGACTTTGACGAGGGGTAGAGTTCTACATAATAGATCAGAATAATTCTGCTCTTAGTTCAATAAATATTCTCAACCTTTTCTGAATATGTACAAAACGGGTACAGTCACTCCGGCCATTACATCTGGTCGTGTACAAGCACAAGTTCTTGGCTTCTTTCAGGTCCTAAATTACAGTAATAATGCTCTTTCATAAATATAAGAAGAGTCCTAGCCTCTAACAAGTTTTGAATATTTATTAAAAATTGTTATCGACAATTCAATTTGTGACTGCTCTTGAATGAATAGGCACGAGTTCTGAGCTATTTTCGGACCGTACGTACATACGTACGTATGCACGTATGCATGCGTTATGGCTGCACACAGGTCTTGAGGAGGATTTAATCACATTAGCCTCATTTCCTGCGTTGTTAAGCCCGTGCGATACGTGCTGCCCTCGCCTGATGATTTAGGATTCTTGACTACCACGTAGATTATACATGTAGGACCGGTGTAAAGAGAAATAATATTCCTGGCAGGAAAATAAATCAAAATTCGTATAAATGAAGTGAAGATTTTAATTAAAATCATTCAGCGTTCAATGAGGTAATGTATCTATTCATAATATATCTATTCATGCTATAATATCACTTAAGACTCCTCCGGACTCTGACTGGTCATTTTGAATCATGACGTCATAAACAAAAAATCAATTTTTTATCTTTCGTAGAAACTATAAATTTCCCACGACTTACTTTGGATGATCTTGCTTCCTCATATTTGTTGGGTGTCATCTATACTCCGTTCAAGTATCTTAAATATATGTATATGTAATCTTGAAAATATAACGAAAAAATAAGTCGTATTTTCGTATCTCACGTCTGTTATGCGCTTTAGACATATTTGCTAGTTTTTTCCACATTTTTAGTAAAATAACAGAGCATAGATTTTGGCGGACAGACGTAAAATACATTCCCCAAAATAACACTTAGATACGTGTGAAAAGCAACGTCAAGTACAGTAGTGCTGTGAATTCCTCTAACAAAAATTATTGAAATCATATTATTAATGCCAAGTACATAAGTCACTACATGTTTGCTTATTATATGATCTAGCACTGGCCCATCATTTTAATTGTATTTTCAAAATTTCTTATAACGTTATCACTACTCTTTCACATTACTACTGCTTCCCGTAGTTGATTATGATTTAATGGTCATTTAATAATTAATAAAATTTTAGGTGATTCCTTATCGAGTACTACTTGGCGGGTCCGTGCATTTCTTAACATAAATTTGCGTTCATTATGCCATTCATCAAACTTAAAACCAATATCAACTTTCTATATGTTGTAACGTAATTCTTTAACTTATGACCCGACACCGATAGCAAAGCATCCGAGAACGAACTATCTTCGAGAACCAACCTACGTTACCTTCGGCCGTCCACCCGTCGTTCGTGCATCCGCAAACCAGGCGGGCGCCAGCAATTCTTTCTTCACCGGGAACTGACGAGCCGGTATAAACTGGGAGTTGAGGTGGAACAGGCCCAACTCCACCAAGAACGAGAGCTCTGACGGAACCAACTGGGAGGTGGGATGGAACAGGCCCAACTTCACCAAGAACGAGAGCTCTGACGGAACCTATCAGATGAGGCGATAGCTTAACGGATCCTGTCGATTTTTGGGGACGCGTAAAATCGAGAAACGCAACCGTAGGTGCTGATATTTGGGGTGGCGTATAATCAGCAAACGCAACTGGATACACGAACGGGAGCG